GGTAGCTTGAAGATGGTAATCCTCATGGTAGTATAATAACGCTCAGATCGATCTGTTGTGATGCAATCTAACCGAACCAGCGCTAGGTGAGACACCTTTAAGAAATTAGTATATCACCACAGGTAAGCAAAATCGTCGGACAAGAATAACATTTATCTGAAGCCGGAGAATCTAAAGAATCCAGTGGTGAGGAGAAGCCGACATGTTTCTTTGTAAACGTGGCAGTACGGTTTGGTTGAAGATGATGAGACTGATAATGGTAGCTCGTCTTACATTTTGATCGCATGTATCATGTTCAGGTTTTTCAGAATTCAATCTTAGTAATGAATCTTAATCTTAATCTTATAATGTTTTGATCGTATATATCTTATATATCTTAATCTTATATATCTTCAGAATCTTAATCTTATAATATTTTGAAATGTCAGCTTATTGATTAGTACTTGTAATTTTTGGAAGGAATGTGTTGCCGATATCATAATCAATATTGTCATGATTGCCGACTTAATGATTTTATCTTATGATCAGATGTGATGATGGTGCTGCCAACATTATTCATGTCATGTCACCTATATGTTCGCTCTTGTCACCACCGTGAAATGCCTTTTTACCCGACGTGTAGGCTACCACTTGCTGTTTTCAAAAGTCTTTGCTCTTATGGTACAGAATTCTTACATTTAATGATACAGCTTTTCATCAAAATCGCAGTCTGATCTAAGCGATCTTAACTGCTGTCACCACATACATCATGCTTCATCCCCAATCTTTTTTACTATACAGATTGAGAATCGCCAACATTGATCATGTTCTAATTCTTCCATGACCTTTATCATCGACTACTTGAAGTTTTCTTCGTTTTGCACAGCATGCTTTCCTCGAATCCAAATGGAATTGTCAAAAAAATCTACACCGAGCGTCGTCATGTCTGCGAAATGGCCTGTGGTTGCCGATGTGACGAAACGTGATACCGATTAGGGTGTGTTGTATGGTGGTGCTTCAGGGCAGAAAATACACAAATAATCAAATTTTTAATGACTAACAATCCTCTTCATTCACAAATTCAGTCACAATACGTTGCATTCAATAATAAACAAGCTCATCATAAAGTACAATAAAAACATCCACAACATCACAATATCAAGACATCGATCACCACTCCATAAAACAGCATTAGGAAAAAAATGAATCACAAACATTCCATCTCACAAACCAGTATATCAATGACACATTCCTAGATTTCTCTAGAAATGCCATACAAGGGATCAACCTCAGATACCAGATTACAAATTAATGACGAAATAGTTTTTCATCGAGATAAAAAATGTTCTGACTCCTGAAACAACGTCAACCAAACAAATTCAGTGTTAACTTTGAAAAAAAGCCACTCGAACGAGAAAATGACTATGCTGAAAGGTTCAACAGTATTACGTTCACCAATAAAATGAAATATTTTATTTTTGGTCGAAAATATCACCTGAATCGTAGATATTCAACGAATGATTTCTAAATGCGAAAAATATTCAAAGAAATTGAATTCCAAACATACGATAAACATGACAGATATAATCGAAGGGATATGGTGAAGATAAAGCTACCGATCGTATATATATTGCGCGAATTTTTTTACGTTCAGAGTGATTTTCTGAAGGTATCTCGCTTACACATATATATTGTCGGGCGATTTTGCTTGCCTTCAGAGTAATCACTGATTTTCTGAAGGTATCTCATTTGCTCGGCATCGCTCATTTCAATACATTGTATCTCTATTGATCAGCGCTATCTATCAATATGTACATTAGCTTAATAGTATCAGAATCACCATATTCAAACTATCGGTGTTCTCAACTTTGCCCAGTAACATGGTGATTTCTTCACACCATTGAATTTCTCAGATTCTAAAGTTTCAGAAAAGTGTGTATATTGTCGGACGATATAGCTTACATCCAGAAAAAAATCTTATTTTCTGAAGGTATCTCACTTACTCGGCAGTGCTCATTTCAATACGCTGTATCTCTGTTGTTCAATCCGCACATTATTGCAGCAGTATCAAGGTTACCATCTTCAAACTAACGCTGTCCTCACAATCAGATTTGCCCAGAAACGCTGTGATTCTTTCACACCATCGCATTTTCCAGATTCTCTACATTCAGTACGGTGTATAAGTTGTCGAGCAATTCTGCTTACATTCAGGGAAATAATATTTCATTTGTAATATTTGGCGAAGAAAACTTCACTTGATTAATTCCTTCAATCTTGTACACCCGTTTTACTTATCTCATTAACACAATGTGACAAGTCGGCAAAAAATGACATCTTTAGAATGCAGAGAACCTCTTCTATCTAATAGTACCAAGAAATGTTCGTGTTTGCATTCAGCAGCAATTTTCCATGCTTAAACCCCCTAACCCCGTCAAAAATGCCTTACTTTTCCTCAATTAAGAACGCTCATGTGATAGATAGGGTTTTTCAAGCCCTACAAATGTGCATAATCTTATTGCTCGAATCTTGTTTGTTTAACTTGAAATTGGGTACTAAACAAATATGAATCTCGTTCCTGCCCAACATTTTCAGCTTTGATATCGCCCAAGTTTTTCTCTGCAATGCACCATTCCTCAAAAACAGTCCTTTTCCAATATACCATTGCTATAAGGTCTTGTGATTTAAGCGCGCAATCGCACGCTGACCTATCACTGCGCATTCTCTTCGCTGACTGCTTGCCTGCATTCGACGCGTTTCTATGGCGAAGTGCGACGACGTCCGAGTGAATAGTCGGTGGCAGAAGAGGTAATCACCCTAAATAATCACATCATGATGATATTGTCTCTTCTTATTGTTCATCCAGATTTCTCTAATTTTCCATATATCACTCCTTGCATATTATTATTATTGTTAATTATATGACTTGTTACCGTGCACGTCCGGTGACTGGTAAAATTGTAGGTAAAGTAATTGTTAATTCAGGCTGAATGACTCAAACTCTACTTCTCATCTCACCAACCATGAAAATATTTCATTTAACTAAAGAGGAAATTTCAGCTGAAGTACAGACCATAGGCAACTTGGCATGGTGGACTAATTGATATGTAATTCTTCGTGAAAACTGAGAGGTATTCAGTGAAGACAAGCAACGCAAATGAAGCATTCAAATTCGAATGATCATCTTGTTCCTTTTCTAGGAACCACGTGTGATAAATTCCTGGAATCCGGTTCAATTTACAACCAAAAAATGCAAATAACACATCAAATAGCACTTTTGTATCGTTGTTATATGCGGTTGATTCGTGACAATCGGTTTTAATACTCGCAGCTATTAACTCGCAATTGTTCATATTATATTCTCCGTTGAAACAAACTCGTTATCGTTCCACGATTGCCCAGTTTTCCTCTCAACACTTTTCTGTTGGAATTTTTATTTCAATTTGGTGACAGTTATTGAGTTTTATCTGTAATTAAACAGAACATTTCGTGTTTTATTGCTCGTGTAACTGTCGAACGACACTTACAACTGTAATGTATTGTATGCAGGTGTGTTGTTGTTTGGTGCATGGATAATATTGCGCATCGTCAAAGATTCACTACTGAAACTAATTGATAAACAAAAGCAACATTGCAAACATGCCGAAGCGAGACGATTCTGATGAAGAATCGACTGCCATAGCGGCACCAATTGAGTTGCCGATAAGCAGTAAGGTGGTGAAACCGACGATTGCGAAGATAATCGAAGATGAGAATATTGCAACGAGTGATGACGATGATGATGACCAGGTATTATTTGCTTACGTCTAAGTGGATTTGCTGGATTAGCACATCCAAGTTTTTACGGTAGTCAGCCATGTGGATATTCAGCGTTTAGAGCAACCAGCACCCCAACAAGCTTTTAGTCGCCATCAAGTTTCAAACGCAGCTGTCTGATGTTTCCTGTCCCCCCTTCCCCAATATTGCAGACGCATCTTCTGAAGATCATAAAATTTGCTGTAAATAGATGAATTTATTTGTGCCTTTAGAAGGATGGTGAGGTTGCGGCGTTATCAGTTTCAAGTAACATCGAGTCAGACATTGAGTCTGATGAGAAAGGAGATATGACCATCAACTACGACTTCACCGTCGATACTAAGGAAATCAAGATTCATGAGGTTTGTTCTTTTGTTTGCTCGCTTCACCGATAAGTTCGAATATTCACACTGATCATTCGGCTGATTTTTCTGATAATTCTCGATTAAAACTGATAATTTCTGAGAGGAAACTGGTGAATATTCAAATAAGTGTTTATCAGTGATGTACAGTTTGATGGATACTTCAAATATCACTTTCGATTTAAGGTCTTGAATAAATTTCCATCAAAATACGATAATATAATCGCAGAATTCGCGGATGTGGAAATATTTTTGATATCATTGGATGGATTGCTTATTGAATTAACATCGCATTGGTATTTGAATTGGGAGCTCGGTGGACAGACAATTGTCATTGCGAAACAGGTTAGTT